GGATGTGTATTAATGCAAAATGGTAAAGTTATTGCGTATGCTTCCCGACAACTGAGCTCGCATGAAAAGAATTACCCGACTCATGACTTGGAACTTGCCGCAGTGGTATTTGCATTGAAAATTTGGCACCACTACCTATATGGGGCAACATGTGAAGTGTACACTGATCACAAGAGTTTAAAGTATTTCTTTACACAAAAAGAGTTGAACATGAGGCAACGGAGATGGTTAGACCAGATAAAAGACTATGACTTGCAAATTTTGTACCATCCGGGGAAAGCTAACACCGTTGCCGATGCACTGATGTCGGAAATCAATTGGGAATTTGGCTTGTTTACTCACCGGACAGAAAGAATTGCTATGTGACTTTGAAAAATTCAAAGTTAAGATTTTTCTGCGTGAACAAGGTGGGACGTTGGCTGCTATACTGCTCAACCAACCCTTATTGAGGAGATTAAAGAGAAACAACACGAAGATGACCTTTTGAAGAAGATCATTGATGAACGGGAATCTAAACCAAGGCCGGACTTTAAATTTGAAAACAATGTATTGAAATTCCAGGGAAGGTTGTGTGTACCAAATGAATCTGAACTGAATAGGCGAATTTTGCAGGAAGGCCACAATTCAAAACTTTACATCCATCCAAGAAACACAAAAATGTACCAAGACTTGAAACTTAACTTCTGGTGGCCAGGAATGAAGAAAGATTAGACAGAGGCAAGAGAGTAATAGACATTCCAGAGAAAAATACATATTCCAGAGAAATTTACAAAGCAGAGAAATTCATAAACAAAATCACAGAAACATGTTCAAGAATAAGATCAAAACACAGAGAAATAACTTTTTTCAAAATACACATGTCAAAGAAAATTCAAAGAAGAAACATTCATTCCAGTCCATAATATTAAAATGCCAGATAAAATTAAACTTGATAGAGACACACAAGGGAGGAAAGTGATATGATGTGGTCAGAAAAAATTATAAATACCAGAGAAACTTAGATAGAGACAAGAGAGTAATAGACATTCTAGAGAAAGATAGACATTCCAATTAAAAATACATATTATAGAGAAATTTACAGAGCAAGGAAATTTATAGACAAAATCACATAAATATGTTCAAGAATAAGATGAAAACACAGAAAATTACTTTTTTCAAAATAAACATGCCAGAGAAAATTGAAAGAAGAAACATACATCAAGCAAAAACTAGAGAAATTCAAATGCCAGAGAAATTTACAGATAAAATCACACAAACATGTTCAAGAATAAGTTCAAAACACACAGAAATAACTTTTTTCAAATTCAGGTAGCTTTTTATTACGAAATTGAAACCCTAATTTATGGAAGGTTAATATAAAATGCAATTGACTGTGTTTCCAAAGAAAATCTAGTTGTATTGTAGAAAAAATTACCAGAGTTAGGATGAAACTTGAATGACGAGCTGATATGGCCTAAGATGAAGATGCGACGTGACGAAGATGAACTGAGATGACGATGAACAGTGAAAACGGGGTCAGAGAAATTTGTGATGAAGGAATGGGAATGATTTTTGCAGAAGATAACGAAGCTCTAATGTCGATGGTGAAGATGATATTGAAACCATAATTCTGTTGTTCTCTTGTTCGTGAAGATGCTGGATGCTCGGAAAGGAACTCAGACGTCGGAATGAGTTTCGTTTCTGTGTTGATTTTGGGAAGGATATTTTGGTCCACAAAATAATTAAAAACGCGCGCCATGTTATTGAGGGACCTGATACATCACTATCTTTTTTGATGTCCTTTATCCTCTAAATTATTATTATTAGGGACCTTAAAAAAAATTTCCCTAACTTTAATGTCATTATTAAATCAATCCATTAAATTAAAAAAATTTAAATAAAAAAATATTTCATATATTAAACATATCAATTATATATCAAAAGCTTAATAACCATCCATTACAAGATAACCTATTAAATGATTATCATCCAAACACATATTGAAAATTAATTTGGTAAAAAAAATAAGCAAAATAAAATTGTAAAAGATTTATCATTTTTATGTAATTTTATATTTTGTGAGTAGAAATAATTTTTAAAAGTAATTTTTTTACATTTATTTTTGTCAAATTAGTTTATATTTTATCAAATTGACGACTTTGCCCTTGAAATGGAGCAATAATATCTTCAATTATCCTTATTTGGAGCAAGAATTAAAATTCAAGTTCAAATATATCACAATTGAAAGGTTATGTACCAAAGTAACACGACATTAATGTAATTCGCCTTATATTAAATAACATGACACATTATTTTTCCAAACATGATATTTTCCTAACCTCAATACTAAATTATTTTTTTTGATAACTGGATTTTCCGGATTAACTTATGTGCACATTGACTAATCTCGATGATCAATTCTACTGCCCCATTGTGGGAGGCCCTATATAAAGCTGAAGTAAACGCCCTATACAGATATGACCCCAAAAGATTTATTATCACTAATAGATATTGAATCTAAAAGCTAGAGAGGAAACAACCCACACGCCAAGTTTTGCCAACTAGACGAAGTCGTCCACGTTAACCTCAATGCCATTAATCACATAACATGATATATTAAATAACATGGCACATTATTTGTTCAAACATGATATTTTCCTAACCTCAATACCATAAATCACATGACACATGCTATATTATATTTATTTTTTTCTTAATTTGATTATTTTATATATTAATTTATAAAATATAATTAAAAAAATCATGTATCCAGTTTCTTTTATTTTTATATTTTATATTTGTTTAATCGGCTCAGTTTGAAACTACTAAACGATTTAACGGACAATTACAACAACAACACACAAAAACAAATAAATAAATAAATAAATAACAAAAACAATATTTTAATCTTATAACAAAATAAATCTTGATTTTTAATTTGGTCAATTTAAAATTTATTTTTTCAAATTATTTTCAATCTAAACTATTCACCTATTTTTTTATAAATAAAATCAATAAAAAAATATTTTAGTTACTAAATTCAATATAGAAATACATAAAATGCTTAAAATACCGTTTTATTGAATTTAATGACTAAAATATTCATTTTTTAATCGATTTTACTTAATGAAAATAGACAAATAGTTTACCTTGAAAATAAATAAAAAATTTAGTACTTGAACTGATAAAATAAAAAACTTAAAATTTATTTTGTTAGAGGGTTTGAACTTTGAGTGTTTTTTTTTTCCCCTAACATTTAACTAACTCGCCAATTTTTTAAACCATCGATAATTGCGTATGGGTGTAATTTGGGTAGACTCAACCCGAATCACTTGAACCCAGGCTGACTTTTCTTAAGGTTTGGGCAAAATATTTTTGAATTCGGTGCGAGTTTAGGTAAAAATTCAGAAATCCAAATTAAATTTGAGCAGACTTATGTAAAGATATCAAACAACACAAACAATACAAAACTCGAATTATATATATATATATATTAAATATACATATGAATTATTAGCCAATGGATAATGTGAAAGTAATTTAGATTGATAGATCATATTGAATATATATTATATACACAATTAATATCATACAATATCTTACACTAATTGTTTCTGACTCAGAAATTGTAAATAGTTACTATTACACATCGATTTTTCAATTCTTATCTTTTTCACATTATATATATTACTATTTGTATTGATGTTATTAATGATCTATATAAAAAAAAAGGGTTAATGGGTGATAAATCCGATCTAAGGAGATATAAGGTGATTTTTTTGCTGATGGGAGGTCCATATTTTGTGAAATAGTTTGGTGAGAAGTCCTTGAGAACATTTTGTTTTCAATTTTTTCCCTGGATTTTTTTTATCTTTTTTACTTTTCGAAAACTATTTGTTCAAATTTATATTTATCTGTTTAAATATATATTTTTTCTATCTATTCAATTTTTCCTTCAAATTATATCTATCTATTCAATTTTTTTCCTAAATTCTATTTACCTGTTCAATTTTTTCCCTATATCTGTTCAACTATCTGTCCAAAATTTATTATCTGTTCAGTTTTTCCCTTATCTGTTTAAATCTATCTACTGATTTTTCTAACAAATAATCTTCAATCAAACTCTATATGTTCAAAATTCCTACCTGTTAAAATCATTTTTCTATCTGTTGAAGGTATAATCTGTTATTTTTTTTATCTGTTCAATACAAATTTGTTCAAATTCACATACAAATCTTATATGTTTGTTTTATTTGTTCATCAACAACAATAACAACAACTACTACAAAAAATAAACAAATAAATAAATAAAAATAGAACTACATATCTACCCAAAAAAACAAAAAAGTGGATGTGAAATGAAAAAAAAATAATTATCATAAAATGAAGATTACAAAAAAAATCAACAAATGCGAAGCAATTTTGAGTATACTCTTTGAGTATCTATGCATGATGAATGTTGGTGTAAAGAATATGATGGAGGCTTAGATTTGTTATGATAACGGGCTGAGAATTGTGATATACCATGGCTGCAAAAATTTGTTGCCATTAACAACGGAGGAAGAGCAAAGTGGAGAGTGCGTTTTGCGGCAGAAGTGGGTGGTGGTGGTGGTGGAATCCAGATCCTCCATCGCCCTTTCCTGCTGCGCATCCCTGTAGCCCTTCAAAACGACGTCGTTTTGGAGGGTTTTTTTTTTTTTCTTCTTACTGATAACTCTCTCTCTCTCCTCACAAACCAGAGGCAACAGATCTGTGGAGCAACGGAGGGAGAATCACATAAATATACAAACAATTTTATCAAAAAAAAAAAAACACACAAATTTATATATATATATATATATATAAATCAGATGCAAACACTTCAAGGGTTCCTCCAAAACCCATCAAGCTCGCCTCCCTCCCCGCTCCTCCATCCAGAAAAACTCCCTGATCTTTGTGACCCATGTGCAATCCCATTTGGGGGTTTCAATTCATCGAATTTATTTACCATTTCTGCACGATCAGATTCATTTAAATTCTCATTTATTTGAAGATCATTATCAATAATAACCCAATTATCAGGATTGATGTATGAACCATTACTTTGGTTGTCAGCTATATTGCTCAAAACTTCCCTATTATCAGCTCTTCTAGAAGAACTGCTACCAGATTTAACATCATTCTCAAACCCATCACCGAACTTCATTCCTTTCCCGGAAAATTTGAAATTGTCTGATTTCTCGGGAAAATTTTCAGAAACACTTTGATGAACCCTTTCTTCATCGGACTTCTACGACGAAGTATCCTCCTCAAAAATTCTATTTTTCGCTGAAATTACAATTAAAAAAAAAATACATATAAGATAAGACGAGAAGTACTAAAAGAAGAAAATCCGTGTTTGGTTACCGAGAAAACAAAGGAAAAGAAAAGAAATTACAAAGTTGAATCTTCGAACACCTTATTATCACAGATCTGTTGCCTCTGGTTTGCCTCTTTCCTTCCTTCCTTCTCCCTCTGGTCACCTTATTACAATGATTGTATTGTTTGGTACGGGTGGTCGGAGCAGTGGTCAGTAGTGGATGTGTGTGGTAGAAGGTGGCTATTTGCTGCAAAGGAGGAGGAAGGAGCAGGGATAAGAGAATGGTTGAGATTGTCCTTGAAGAAGAAGAAGACCCAAAGAGGGTTCGTGACTCACTGTATTGTCCTTCTGAGCCCCCTCCCATGAGAGAGAGAGAAAAAAAAAAACAAAAAAAAAAAAAAAAAACCTCCAAAACGATGGCGTTTTGGAGGGCCACAGGGATGCGCCGCAGGAAAGGACGACGGAGGATCCGGATTCGGTGGTGGTGGTAGTGTTTTGTGGCCTAGGAACAAAGAAAATAATTAGTAAAACAAGCCTCAAAACTTTGTCTAAAGACAACAAAGAGCTCAAATGTTGAGAAAGATTATGAGATAAAAACCTGCCACCAACTTTCTATCAATTTTTTCCTTCTATAAGACTTACAAGATAATTTAACGGTTAAGATTCAAAAATATATATATATATATATATATAAAGATGTAGACAAGTGACTGGGTGCGAATAAAACTCACGACCCATCCGCAACCCCAAAAAATAAAAAAATTCTAACTCACACCCGACTCTAACAATTTACGAAACCGTCCAAATAAGTACGGGCAGCTAAGATTACGTGGTTTTCACTGATTGGATAATCCTATGCCTAGCCGTACCAATATTCATCCCATGAGCACAGACTTGACCAATTTCTCAAAATTCAAAAAAGATGATCCAACATAACAAATTGTGGCATCTTCACCCAACTTCTTCCACTCCATGGCCTTTCTCTTCATCTCCTTCCCTTTGTCTACACCTTGTGTTTTTCCTTTTTTTCCCCGGGGAATTGGGTGTGTGACGATTCTATTTTTTTGTTTCTTATTTTTTTAATCTGTTTTTGAAGAATATTAAATGCTCTCTTAGCGGCTTCTTTGTTAGATTTCTTTCTAATCTCTGGAAACTTTGGCAATTGATGAAAATTAGGGGTTGTTTGGCATGTTCATCCCAAACAACCCCTTAATGAGAATTAGCTGAATTTAGTTAACAATTTGTGATGTTCCTTGCTCCAAACTTCCTTCTATTGGCTCACAAGGCATGTTTCAATATATATTTTGTCAAGTTCCTCTCTTTTGAAGCAGATTTTCATTTTAATGTATGGATCTTTTTTTCTATGATGTTAAGACTTTTTTGTATATATATATATATAACTTGCTTTCTCTTACTTGTGTAAGGTGCACGATCATGAAATATGAAAAGAATTTTACTTGCACGCTGTTTTTATTCTTGAGATACCAAAATCCTCATAGTTTTTTTTTTTTGATAAATGTCTTCTAGGCCTTGCCTTTATTTTTAACTTCAAATCTATCATACTCTACCTAAATATGGGATTTTTATTTATTTATTTTATTTGAGGAAAGTGTTTTCTAATTTGAAACCATTTGAAGAGTAGTTGTGGAATGTTGGTAACAGAATATAATTGATTATACTTAAGAAAATTGAGTCTCTTATTTTTTTTTTCATTAGTAGCTATTGTTTGTTAAACGAATAATTTGCTCTCTAAGATAATGGAAAAAGGAAAATAGTAATAAGATTTTTCCTAGTTTTAGAACATTGGGAGGCATGATAACATGATTGTTTATAATTTTTATTGAACGATGGAGTAATGTTGGCCAATCCATCCAATCAATTGCACAATTGATTGGTGGTGGACAATCCTTCCAATTGATTGGTGAATCGATTAGTGGTGGCTAAGCCATCCAATCAATTGGACATTTGGTTGGAGTGGCCAATTCTTCCAATCGATTAGTGAATTAATACTTTTGCAAAATTTTAAATGTGTAATTGATTAGTTAACTAATTTTGCTAACTTGTAGAAAAATGATCTTGGGTCTTTACAGTGCCAGTGGCTGCCAATATTACGATAAGATACATGGCATAGAATCTATGCATCATCTCCAATTCATGTATCATTACTTAACTTAGGTACATATTATGCCTTTTAAGCGGATTTTTATGTATTAAATAGTTGACTATTGTTCTTGGATCACGCGTGCTTGCAAAAATGTTGAATGAAACTTTAGCTCTATGTGAACCAACATATGTACCTTTGAGTTTCAACCTTTAAGTTGATTTATAATTTCTAATTTTCTTGACCCATCGTGGTTATGTGTGTGTTTGCAAATTTGAATGGTGAATGATGTTTTCAGCCCTCGATGTTATACTGCATGTGATCACACTTCTGCAGTTTAAAACCTTGACTTAAATTTTTTTTATGGCTAAATCTTGAGTTATATTGACCAAGTTAATTTATTGAGTTGTCAATATGCATTTTTCTGATACCTTTTTTATTTCATATTTGAAAGAGTTGGGTTCATGAATGCTCTCTAGTGGGGATGTTTATTTTTTTGTCTATCGAAGTGTTGAAACTATGAAATCGATAAATATTGCTCATTGCAAGGAGCACCCTAAATTTATAAAGAACAAGGTGGTTTGTTGGAAGTAGCATTGACTATAAATTGTATTGCTAGTGTGCTAATCTAATCAAATGCTAGGCTAAAAAATCAAGCCCAATTTCAATCTCAACTGATTATAGTTGGTCATAAGAAGCGGCTGAAGCAACTATCTATAAATTGTAATCTATTTTTATCTCTTTAATCTAATTCCTTTTTCCTTCTCTGTTAACATTGCATGCAACGCTGTTCTAGTCACATGCTCACAACCCTTTTGCTTTACATTTGCCTTCGGTTTATCCATTACAGAAACTCAAACTCAGTGAGTGAATGTTGGTAGGTTATTTAGACTTTAGTTACACTTGATGATTTTTCTTTCGGAAATGAGCCGTAGCTCGAATTGGTTGGCTCGAAAGAGGGAGAGAAGAGAGGAAGAAGAGAGGAGAAAGAGACAGAGGAGAAAGAGGGAGAGAAGAGAGGAAGAAGAGAGGAGAAGAGAAAGAGGAGAAGAGCCAGCACCACCGCCGCCGCCGAGGATCGTCGCTATTCGTCGCCGGCCGTCGCTGCTCGTCGCCTCGTCGCCTGCCGTCGCTGCTCGTCGGCTTTGCCTCGCCTCCGCCCCCCGCCTCCAGCCCCATTTGTTGGGCCCCCTCCAGTCTCTCCTCCTCCTCCCCCTTCCCCTCCAGTCCCTCCTCCTCCTCCTCTTCCTCCTCCCTCCTTCCTCCTCCTTCCTTCCCTCTCTTCTCCTCCTCTACTTCTGATTCGAGCCAATTTCGAGATCCACCTTTCGAGCTACGTAGCACTACCGATAAAATTTTTACTACATAAATATAGAACACCATATAAATAATTTCACTTTATTTTTTGAAATTGATGAATAGTTAATAGGAGTGTTTGGCAAGGACTATTTTAGCCTATTTTAGGCTAAAATTCACCCCCCAAAAAAAAATAGACTAAAATAATTAATAAGACAAAGTGAGTATTTGGGAATTGGATTTTTTTGTAAGTTTTTTAGTTTTAGAAAATTATTGGAGAAATTTTTTTTTGTGTTTGGAAAGATAATTAGGTTTTTTTGCAATTGAATGTGATATTTGTGAGAGAAAAAATGAAATGATTATGGAATTTGATGTAATATTTTGTTTCGATTTATTTTTTTTTTGATTTTGTAAAATATTTGTCGTATAGTGAAAAAAAAACAAAAAAACCCAAAAATCAAGTTCTTAAACAAATATCACATCAAATCCATAATGATTTTATTTTTTCTCTCACAAACATCATATCTAACTACAAAAAAATCTAACTATTTTTCCAAACACAAAAAATTTTAACCTACTAAAATAGTTAAAACTTAAAATAACCTATTAAAATAACAATGTTCCAAACACCCACAAAATATAAATGGATTAAAATCAAATAAAAACTACTCAGCCACTATTAGTGGTTTTGACAGTATCATCCACTCAAATTAATTATGATTTGTACTGTTTAAACCGTTTAGATAATGTAATACCTTTGAGTGGTGTAAGATTTTTTTCAATCGGGGGACGATTGATTATGGATTTGTATTGTTTAATTTAACTATAGATTCATACTGTTTAGAAAATGTAATACCTTTGAGTGGTGTAAGATCTTTTTCAATCAGTTGACGATATTGTACATAACCCATGAAGCCACAAGCACTTGTCGTCCAGAAAAGAACATCTGGGATTCCCAATTCTTGAGCAACCAACACAGTGAAGCTCATGATTCCATCAGAAACTATGCAACTCACCGGAGGCACTTTCGAGGAAGCCGTGTGGTTGATTTTAGCAATTAGGTCTCTGAAAGGAACTAAGCAGTTCTTTCTGGTGGAGTCACAGAGGGAGGGAACATCTTGGGTGGCGTCAGGGGCGTTGTCGGTGGAAGGGAGGCCATCGGGGATGGTTTCAAAGCGGAAGGAGGGGGTGCCGGCGAGGGAGTTGGGGCCCCGGGATTTGAGGAGGTGACGGTGGTTGAATTCGGTGTTGATGAAGGTGATGTGGAAGCCCTTGTGGTTGAGTAGCTTTGCTAGTTTTAGCATTGGGTTTATGTGGCCTTGTGCTGGGAAAGGAATACACACTGCATGAGGAGGGCTTGGCTTCTCTGTTGACCTTTGGGAACCCATCTCTCTCTCCCTCCCTCCCTCTTCTTGCATATGGTGCTTGTGGCTAGCTGTTTTTTTATAGCCCACTGGAGGATCCACACCAACCACTATTCATTTTTAAATAATTATTTTGTCATACCTATCGATATCAACGATACAATATATGCCCAAATCTTATATCATACCGACATATAAAAAGGGTGATACAACATATAATAGTTGATAGAAATGAATTTATTCAAGAGACGTGTAATTTTATAGAATTTGTTGATACCTTGCTTGTTTTCATTTTTAAAAAATATTTTTTAGAAAATTTTACTTTTTTATTTTTTGTATTTTTTTGTTTTTATTGATTTTTTTTAGTATTTTAAGCAATCTTTTTACTTTTTAGACACACCTAACATAAATACACCTAAAAAGTAAATAAATTGTAAATTTTTTTTAAAAAATTCACTAAATACCAAAAATATAAAAAAATACAAGAATTCAGTACATTTTTTATATTTTTATGTATTTATTAATTTTTTAAAATATTTTTTTCACAAATTTTTTACTTTTTAGATACATCAAAGTAATGAGCATCTAAAAAAGTAAAAAAAAAATGTTTAAAATTTTTAAAATATTCACTAAAAACAAAAAACACGAAAATAAAAAAAGTCAATTTTTAAAAAATTTAATCCAGAAAACTCAAACCAAACACACTATTAGTTTTTACAAATATCGTCCCGGAGACTTAGGCCTCGTTTGGGAACTAGCCCATTTAGTTAAAAAGTTAAAAAATTATTAAAAAAGTTAAAAAGTCAACAATTCATACAAAAAAAAGTCAAAGATTTTCTTTTCTCTCTACTTTTTGCACATCTTTTCGTAAAAAGTAAAAAACTCATTCCAAATATACTAATTTTTTTAAACTCATATTTTAGCTAAATAATCAAAAATTTACTAAATTAGTCTGTTCCCAAATAAGGTCTTACTAATTATAACAAAACCAATGAAATGACTACTCTTCATTGACAAATATATATCATTTAATTTAAGGAAAATTAAGAAACAGTGGTACAATTAAAAAATCATTACACATTCATGAAATAATTTATAATTTTAATAATTAATATATATAATTTATTATTTATTTATTATATTTTTTTTTAAAGGTTACACTGAAGTGGAATTTCCCCTTTAATATATGAAATGTTACATCATTGTAGAGGTATGATTCAATTTATAAACTAGTTGTGTATGATACGTACCCATCTAATTTTAGCTCTCATCTCTTACTAAGGTCAAGTTTGGGAAGACTAAAAAAATTTACTTTTTATCTTTTTTGACTAAAAAATTGAGGTTGAAAATATGGATGTTTGGGTTAACTTTTTGACTTTTTATTGAAAAATGTGTAATAAAAAAGTGTAAAAATTGATTTGTAGGAAAAAATTTGAATTGAGAGTTGTGCAGCCGTAATTGTTGACTTTTGATGAATAGTGTTAACTTTTTAACTTTTTAAGTAACTTTTTGACTTTTTTATATATATATATATTATTAAAAAATATACATAATATTTATATGAATGTGACTTCTTTTTTTAGATGTGACAATTTTTTTAATTTTTTTTAATATATATCATTTATAAAAAAAATTAAATAAATTCGATTAGATTATAATTTTTTTTATTTTATTGTATTTATTTTCGAAAAAATAGATGACAAATATATTTTTGAAATTAGACGATTCATTTATTTGAAGACAAAAACAATAAAATAAAAAAATTACAATTATCAGATCGATCTCATTTTTTTATGGGTGATACATACGGAACCTTATGAAATGAGTGATTTAAATTATCGAAATGAATCTGTAGTAGACATCTCATCAAATTCTCTCAAATTCATATTTAAACCTAAAAGAAACCAAACTCATTAATATTTATTACAGCTAAAACAAAAAGTTATCCATACAGTTTATTTATTCAACTTTTCTTTAAAAAAAAAAGTGCAAAATTAAAAATGAAAACCATCATTGTGTTTTTTTAAAGATAGGAAAAAAACATTATTGTTGTGTGCCGTCCTTGTGGAGTAATGACAAAAGCTAAATGAAGAAAATGCACTAACGACCTCAAAAGCATAGCGCATCAATTTAATAAACACGCACTAACAATTTAATATAAAAAACTAAAGGGTAAATTATCAATCTTAAGGCTCTGTTTGGTTGTGCTCTGTAATCAATTTTCTATCCGTGTGTTGGAGCATGATGTTTGGTTTCGTTTTCAAATCAATTTTCTACACTTTGCAGAGAGAACTCTGATGCACAGGCGCCTTTTTTGTCCACCCGGTTGTCCACCCGGTAGACCACCTGGATGTCCATCCGGATGTCCGGCTGATTTCCAGATTTTTTTTTTTTTTTTTGCAATTGATTTACATAATCGGGACAAATATTTTCTGAAAATTTTTAAATTTTTTATGTGCTTTAAAATAATTTTGAGTTGTATGTTTAGTTATGAGTTGTAAATTTTTGTATCACATATCAAATGTCACATCAATAATTCCCCACTCAAATCAAACCTCTTTTCCAAAATTATTTTCAAAACTCTTTACCAAAAAAATTTTCTACACTCAAATCATAATTCCACAACACACAAACTCAAAATACAATTCATATTCTCAAATCACATTTACAAAATACAACCAAACGCTACCTAAGATTTTTTGTCTAGGTTTAAAAATCAACTTCAAACAACTTTTGGTCATTATATTAAAATCCTCCAACTTTTTGGTAAATTTAATGTGGCCGTTAAACTTCTATTTTTTCTTATGTAAGTCTTTTAAATTTAAAAATTATGCCAACTTAATATATGTTGTAATTGGATTATCATATAATTATTTTACAGTGATTATATATATATATTAAATTATAAGATTATAAAATAAACACTCTTAATTAAATTAAAATATCAACTATATAAAAGAAATTCAACAACAACTAAACAAGAAAGAATCACATAACAACATCTAAACCCAAAAAAACAAAATAATAAAAACATTCAAATAATTGATACATCTCAGTGTGTGAAGTGATTAATTATCTTTAATATGGTGTCAAAATATTTTTTAAAAAAAACTTACTGTTCAATAATTGAAAAAGCAACTCAAACATTAAATCCAAACTTCAGAGATTCATCGAGAGTACCATTGTTGTACAAGTTTTTCCTTCTATGAGTTGTGATTATATAAAATAATACAAGAAATGAAATACAATTATATATATATATATATAATCAAATCCGATACCCATCAAGTAATCTAGACCGACCTTTATTGATTAGTTATTTGACTATTGCGTTCATTAATTAATTGCTTTTATTCGCAGCTTCTCATCCTTCCAATTCTAATTGTAAGTCCAGAGATTAATATTCCTCCACCACTACCACCCTCAATTGTCCCTCTAGTCTTATCATCAGTGGGTCTGTCAATCACAGTGTCATTGTCTACTGCTTACAATGAAGGACAAAATTTGTTCAAATTAATTGTAATTTGCAACCCCACATATACGCGTTAAGATCTTAACCCGGTTTGATTTCAGGGTATAAAGGGTGAGGTTGAATATTATATTTTGTGGAATTCACATATTTTATATTTGTAATTTTTTTTAAAGGTTATATAATATATTATGAGATTGTATATCCCTCAAAAATAGAGGATATACAATACCATCACTCCCCATTATATCATATCCCCTTAGTTGAGATATGCTTTAAAAAGTCTAATTTACCCTTTTGTCTATCTAACATAATATAATTTAATATATTTTTTGAATTTAATATAATATAATTATTGAATTTAATTTAATATTATAAATAAATATTATAAGCTGAATCTCCTAGAAGTGTCTCCATATATTCCCACATATCTGTTGATTCATAGGGACTAGTCACCCATGCTTTTACTGCATCTTTTTCCCATCTTTCTATTACTTCCTGCCATATCTGAGGGTCGAATCTAGCTAAATCTAAAAGGGTTCCTTGATTATGGACTGGCTGTAATTGTATACTCATATCTAATTGTCTACACTTTCCATGAAACCGATAGCTCTTATTTGGATCTGCGTGACTTCGTCCTAAACTGGCTAATGGTCTTCTTCCTCCTACTGCATAATGCATTGGTTCTACGGGATCTCCTACAGTTGGTTGTGGGTTACTAGTGCTTGTGCTTTCTGTATTCATATAAAAAGTATCTTCTAACCTAGATTGTTTTGGTATTTTAAATATTTTACTAGGATGTATTTTATCTTCTATGATATCATCTACATATTCTGTATGGAATTCTTGATCTAAGAATGACACTGCTTCATCATGGGTATCTCCTCTTGCTAAGTATTCGAAATATCTAGCATCTAATATTTTATTCATGTCTTCTAGGGTGAAATTTTCTAAATTTATCTCATCAATATTATAAGTTCTTGCTGCTATGGATAAGTATTCTCTACTAAAAGGTACAATATATTTCCAACTTCCCAATGTCATTTGGTCTAACTCAGTTAATGCTACGCTTTGAGCGGAGTCATTTCCTCTAGAAGGATCATATCCTATAAGTATTTCTTTAATAAAATTTGTAAAATTCCACTGGTTATTTCCTAATTCTTTGAGCTGTTTAATTGTTTCTTCATATTTCCCCTTTTTAATATAATATAATATTATTAATTTAATATAATATAATTTAATACAAAATTTGAATATAATATTATTGAATTTAATTTAATAGAATATAATTTAATATAAAATTTTGAATTTGATATAATATAATTTAATATAAATTTTGAATTTAATAAAATATAATATTATTTAATTTAATATAATATAATATAATACTATTTAATATAAATTTTGAATATAATATAATATAATATTATGAGGGCAATATTAAAAATTACTTGTTTATATTCCACAATATATTTTGTAAAACAAACATGGATAATATATATCCAATCTTATATATCAAGTCAACAAATATGAATTGAGAAATATATTATCCAATACTTATATCCTATTCATTAT